GTCTTGGATTCTCTGAGTTAGTAGTCTAAATCTCCTACTAGAATGCAAGCCCACTGAATCTACCACCTGACCACAAATCCCTAGTACATCTGACAGCAAACAGTAGCATTCAAAAAATATTAAAAAACTGAGTAATTGCAAACATTTTAAGACATGCTGTAAAATGTTTCTTTCTTGGAGGGATTTTTACAAAGGATGGGTAAAGGCATAATAACTTCCCTCTTGAACTATTAATTAAAATCACCCCAGGGAGCAGAGCCTTATCCACAAGAAAAAATCATGGAGAAATAAACCAAGTTTAATAACAAAGTGATAAGTAATTCCAGTTGAAAAGAGTTCTATAAATGGTCAAGCAACCAGTCCTAAGTGCCATCCCTACCAGTTACAAAGACAACAAGGCACAATCCCAAAATGATAAATGGGAAAGCCAGAAAGGAAGCTAAATTAAGTCAATGTGCTAAAAATCAGTACCAATAAATAGATTAGGTATAGAAACAAGATTAGTCAAAGTAAGACTGTAAAACTAGATACATATTGTAAAGTGCTTTAAATATATTATGCTAGAAAGAGGGACTTATTTTTCTCCTTTAAGAGGCAAAAGAAATTAGTCATGTTTTCTTTACTACCATGTTACTAGTTGACTGGAGCAAGTCCCAGTCATACTGGGATAATAGAGAATGGAACTATAATAGGTGCAAACGGTAAAAAATTGAATGTATTCCAATCATCAGAGCTGTGATATTATAAAACCTATTTACAAAACTACAACTGTTGTTTTGGGAGGTGAGATTAAATTCCTGAGGTTCATGAATGGACAAATAAATGGCTTAAAGGCAGAAACTGAGAATAATCCATCAAATCTGACTGTAGATTATTCTAAATTAAGACATATTATAAAACTTTAGTGACATAAATAAACAAATAGCAGAGGTGGTAAGTTGAAGAAAATGTGCTGATTATATAGATAGCTGAGGTTTAGAAGAAAAGACCAGATTTAGATCCAGGAGAACCTGGGTTCTGTTAGGACAAGTTATTATACTCCCATCAGCTTCATTTTCTTTCTATGAAAATGGATGCTGTACTGGCATCTTAAACACTAGTCTTCAGGGAAGATTTTCTTTAATTTTTTTTTTTGGTGGGACTGGGGTTTGAACTCAGGGCCCTGTGCTTGCTAGGGAATCCCTAACTTTTGTGGAGTGGCTGAGTTTTAGGGTTGCATATTTTTGAGACAGGGTCTCTAGAACTATTTGCCTGGGCTGGATTTGAACCATGATCCTCCTAATCTCTGCCTTCTGAGTAGCTAGGGTTACAGGCTTGAGTCACTGGTGCCCAGCAATCTTACGTATTTATGTGTTGTCATAATAAACATGTAGAAGACTAAGTGAGATAGTGAAATGATAGGTGAGCAATGCTTCTCTCTCTCTGTCTCTCTCTCTGGTGGTTACTAGAGGTGAAACTCACTGCCTTCTTCTTGCTAAGCAAGCACTCTACCACTTGAGCCACACCCCCAGCCCTTTTGATTTTAATTTGATTTTCAGATAGTGTCTCATGCTTTTGTCTGACTGGACTTGGATATGATCCTTCTACCTCAGCCTCCAGGAGTTGGGATTCTAGACATGTACCACCATGCCTGGCTTATTTTTGAGATAGGGTATCCCTAACTTTTGCCCAGGCTGGCCTCAAACTTGATCCTCCTGTCTCTGCCTCCTGAATAGCTGAGATTACAGGTATGCACCATGCTTACCCCAAGAAATATTTTTCAAATTGTAAACTATGAAGCACTGTGTGAAACGAAAGGCATACGTAGTAATTTTGTGGGCCCCTGGCAGTTGAACAGTACCTAGTAATGCTGTAACCAAGTGAAAGAATGTTTATAGAATGAGGTACTCTAGACAAGGTTACTGAGTCCTAGAGCAATATAAGTAAGAGCACAATGTCAGAAAGACCTCTTTTAATCTCATAATTTATCACCCAATCTTTAAAAGCAAAGGGGGAAACCTAAACATTTCACTAAATCCAAGTTGTACAAAGGAAACTAGTTCCCATAAAAGTTTTAAAACATTAAGTTGGTTGAACACTATAGAAGTAGTATATTAAGACTTTATTTACTCCCCACCAATAAGAAGGTAGCAAAATTTTTTCTATTAAAGTGTAAATTTTCCATGTTGGGTCATAATTAATGAGCCCTTGATTGAACTATTTATTCCCAGCTCCACCAGGATTAGCAGACTCCTAAGTCGGAAGGAAGAAAGTCCAAGGAAGGGCATAAGGCTTTGGTTATGGAGTTGACCCTTTCACAGCATATTGATGGAACTGCTTTCCTGGCTGGCGGTGGAAGGCTACCAGAAGGAAGGAAAGTAGAGCTGAAGAAGGCAGCAAAGCACCAAAGAAAGATAAGACCTTTTCCTTCTTACTTCACATTTACATTTTGAACCTTCTCAAAAAGGAAGAAGAAAACCCAGCACATCTGAAAATAAAAGGTAAACTAGTATGTTCACTCTGTTTCCAACTATTCAAGCATTAGTGACCTAGGATACTGATTCATTTTTGCCCAGGTTTGTAGAAAACCAAAGAAAGAAGTAGCTTAAATGCAAGCAGAGAGACATCAGCTAGAATATAGGATAGAAATGTCTAATTCTTGACCTTTAGAATTAGCCTTACAAAAGTCTCAGAAGCTGTGATAACTTGCCCTTGACAGTTCAAGTGGAAACAGCATCTATCTTGAAGGTTACTTGTGTTGAAAGGGGTTATCTTAGCAGATTGAAAAAGGCCCTTCCAGTTATGAAACCTTTGGTAACTTATTGGTGAGAAGCCCCCCCAAAAGATAAATAAATAAATAAAATAAAAGCACCTACAGCAAAGCATCAAAGTTAACATGAAAATATAGAGAAAAATGGCTAACAGAGCATAAGCTCCATGAGGGAAAGGCTTTCATCATCTCTGCTGATTAGTAGGCTCAGATCTAAAACACAATAGGTTCTTGTTAAATGTTTGTTGAATGGATGAATGAGAAAATGAACAAGCAAAGAAGTGACATCTGACTTTGCAATCACGACTGCTTATGTTCAAATTCTCGCACAGCTTCTACTGTTATGTCCAGAGCAAACAATACCTGCTTTGCTTTTCTCATCACTTAAAATGGCCATTATAAAAGTACATACCACACAGAGTTTTTATGAGGATTATATGAGAGAATGCAACTAACACATTTACTGCATATTAAGCAAACAAAAGCTTGCTGAATTAACTAAGAATTTTTTTTACCTGTACTGGTCCTTGCTATTTGGGCAAAACAACAGTAAAAGGATATAATTTAAGGAGTGATGACAAATATTTAGAACAAATGCTTTCACACAGTTTGCTTGCTTTTTGGATATACCAGAGACAAAAACTAATTGCCTAACTTTGCTGAAAGGTGTTCATTTTTACCCTATAAGAATTTGAAAATGTGGTTACTTTCTAAGAGGCTAATGAGTAAAATATAAAAATCACACCTCAAATTGGTCATCTCAATATGAAATTAAGAAATGGATGTATACAGAAATGTAAAGAGTTTTATACACATTCAAAACTCCAGTTGAGTGACCTGAGTCTTAGGGAGGCAGTACGGGCTGAAATGTGATATATTTAGTAAACCTAACCATAGTCAATTACATTCTACTCTGTCTGGAAAAAGTTTATGTAAATAGAAAAAGAATGATTAGCACCACATACAGAAAAGGGAAGTTTAATGGATAAGGTCTTGGCAGTGTGTTAGCAACACTACTAGGACTGGGAGACACCTAGTTTGGCAAACATTGAGCTAGTCATCAGAGAAGTGTGTTTTAATGCTACTCAGGAGCAGTTTATTAGACCAAAATTACCATCCTCCATCTTCAGCTCTGATTCCAATGCCTACAAAATTACTTCCCGAGCATTAATTTGCCTTCCCTTATACATAAATATTGGAAACAAATGCCCCAAACTGCAAAATTAGTATTTTGTGACTACATTCCACTGAAAAAATTTAAAAATTTCCTTTTTAAAAAAAGGTAAAGAAAATCACCAGCCAATAGTAAGACCCTTGGAAAGTCACTTCATGAACCTTGAGGTATAAAATTGCTATAGATTTGGGATATATAGTATCTAAGGATCCTTTATCTTCAATTATATGGCTGTTCAATTTGGAAGTATGACCTAGATGATAAATATTTTAGACTTTGAGGGCCATATGGTTTCTGTGGCAACTGCTCAACTTTGCCCAGATACAGAAAAAGCTGCCCAAAACAATATGTAAACAATTGGATGTAGCCATGTTCCAATAAAACTTTAAAAACAGGCAGTAAGCCAGATATGAACCTTGGTCTGAGTTTATTAACTCCTGATGTAGAGAGAATATCTTCTGTGAACATGTATAGATGGTTAAGTTAGCAACTAAAATGTTTCCTGTGTCCCAGGGTTAACAACTTCTATAATTCCAATAAGCTACTGATGACAGTTTCATCAGAACATTTTAGTGCAATGTCTTAATTTAATTTTATGTTTTGTAATCCAGGAAATGAGTAAAATATGGTAGCTCAACCACAACTGATACCATCATCATCATCATCATCATCAAACATCTCGAGCTTTTTTGTTTTGTTTATTGAGACAGGGTCTCACTAGGCTAGCCTCGAACTCACAGTCCTTCTGCCTCAGTCTCTGGAGTGCTGGAATTATAGTTATGAGCTATCATGCCTGGCTAGAGCCATTTTAAAATTCCTCTCTGTAAGGGTTTGTAATAGTTTGATCTTTTTTCTATGTCACAATGAAGGAAGTCTTTTGAGAAAGAGAAAAGGAATGTTAAACAAAAATATTCTGTTCTGTTTGTCAAAGAGCAGGCTTGGCCTCACACTTCTGACTTCAAATAACCAAATAGTCCTATGATATTTAGAGAACATATTTCCCATTCTAGCTGGGATTCCAGGATGCTGACCTAAGAACAGGGCTTCAAGCAGTCAGCTATCTGCTGACATACTTACAGAGAATGCTGCAAGCTGGCCTGACCTCAGGCAGTCATGCTGGAGTGTGTTATCTGTCAACTCCAGCCTCCCCATGGCCAGCTTCAGCTGCCTGGATCCTGGGCAGAGAAGAGGCCCTGAAGGACACGATGGTGAGAGCCCACTATCCCATGGCCTTTGAAAGACAGCAGCTGCAATAAGAGAAGGCACATTCGAAAATAAGGACACTGCAGCTGTGGGAATTAGATCTGGCTTAATTAGCCTAAGGAGGAGATATGCTCTTATTTCTATGATGCTAAACAAGGAAATTTATGCTGCAGGCACCTTTCTAGGATGACTCTAATATGCAAATCAAGAAGAATCTGTAAACAGGGGGAAACAGATTTCAAAGCACTTTGCACACAAGTCACCAAGACTGAGGTCCATTTATTATCTATATTGTTGAATGATAAAAGAGGAGGCTTTGATACCAGATCATTTAAATGTTGCCATTTTAATTTACGAGATTAAGAAAACTGCCAACAAATTCAAGAAGTAAATACATGCACTCTACTCACTTATGCTTTTGAGAAGCAAATTTTCTTAAGAACTGTCGATCATGGTTCACACTTACAATGATACTTCCTAAAAATGTTAGAAGGATGATGATTATCAAAAATACTGCCAAGGAACTTGATGATTATAAACTGACAGATCACCTTATGGTATTTCCTTAAGTGTTCTTTAATTCATTTTGCCCATGAAATCTGAAGTTTTAAGTGAAACACTCATTTGTACTAGAAAAGGAAAGGGAAGACTATCTGTAATTAGAAACTGAACTTATAAGCACGAGCATAAGTACTTGCATGAAGTCTTTGTCAGTTAAAACAGCTCATGTTAGAAGTATACAGCAATAAACTAGCCATTAACAAAACCAAGTAAGTAGAATTTAGTTTTTAAAAGTCAACATTTCATGGTTTTGTTCTTTGTTCATCAGCTTCGTCATTTTAATTGCCATATTGTGGTAAGTATTACATGTTAAGTAATTGCATAGATTTATTCTAAATGCCTGTTATGAGTTGAACTGAGTGCCCTCCAACAGAAATGTTGAAGTCCTAAGGTCTGGCACTGGTGAATGTGACTTTATTCAGAAATAGGGTCTTTGAAGGTATAATCAAGTTAAGATGAGGTCAGGTCATAGTGGAGTAGTTGGCCTCCTAATTGAATAGAATTAGCATCCCTATAAGAAAAGGAGAAAGAGACAGATGAGGAGAATGCCATGTGAAGACACAGATGCAGAGAGAGAAGATGGCTATGGTATGACAGAGGCAGAGGCTGGTGCAATCGCACTGTATTACAACTGCATGGTGTAGGGAAGGGAACTTCCATCCTGGGGCATTTCCATCAGGAGGAAGGAGTATACCCCACTCCCTCTGGGTTAGAGAGTTTAGGATCATGGCTATGGGAAATGGGAATTTGTCTAGGCACATACTGGAGGATTTAAAAAACAAAATAGAGCACTGAGAACTCAGTTGACTTGTATAGCATTATTTTTAATAGTACTTGATTTGCAGACCCCATACTGGAAGAGGGAAGCACGAATGGATGAACAGACTAGCCAGAAGCCTAGAAGACTGCAGATAAGTGTAACATAAGAATAGCTAGAAAGTTAGGGATGATTACATTGGATCTGGGGAAGACAAGGAAGGACATGGTTCCAGAGAACAGTTGATTGAATTAAACACAAAGGAAGGAGTAGTGACTATATTCATACTAATTTAATTCTCAGGTATTTAAGGCAGAATATGATTATTTTACAATCAATTTATACTGTAGTCAATTCCGGATATTCTTTTGGATCAGTTCAAAGGTACTGTATATAGATTAATGCTTATATTATATCATGGAACTAATTTGTGCTACAGATAGCCACAGTTAGTGAGATTTCTTGACACATACATACATACCTACACACATCTACACAGACCAAAGAATAGAGTTGTATTTCCTAGAACATTACAATCATGTGTAACTAGTTCATATCTTTTACATTTAATAAGGCACAAATATCAAGACTAATGAACAACTATTAATGCCAGTGAATGCAGGGCATGTTCAGAAGACTATAACATAGTTAGAAAAAGTGTTGACCTTTGGAAACAGTTAAATTGTATGTAGCAACATGATTCTACATTTAGAATGGTAATATAGACAAACAGCATGTAGGAGGTAAAACTTAAAGTGATAAATATATAGGTATGATATTATCCTTTGAGACACAGCTATAAAATTTTTCATACAGCTTCTGTCATGAAGATGGGACTGAAGTGCAATTTATTCATATCTTTATGAGGACAGAAGACATCAAGCTTAGTAAAAGTTTAAGCTTCTGGCTAAAGGAATTAAACTTACCTTTAGCTTAAACAAAATCATCCAGTTAACAGAAAGAAAAGCTTTATGGAAGAGTGTTAAACAGAATTCTTGTTTTTACAGACAGTTGTGTTCCACTTTCTTATTCACCCAAAGTATGACCCACAACAAATAGAATTAGCATGCATGAGTTATTAAAGTTAGGAACTACAATTCTTCTAGGGATATTGTAGCTATTTTCTATTTAGATTTATTCAGATTTAATTCTCTTTCTCATCCCTGTCAGCACAATAGTTTCTGGGTATACAATATAAAATATTAATCAAGAAAAGAATCAAGCAAACAAACTTCCAGTTACTTCTGGTCAAATAATTAACTTTCTCTAAGTGACCAATATTAGAATTCTTGTGGTTATTAAAGGTTATGCACAATGATGGTGACAAATCATTTCTGAATAGCTTTCAAGTATGATCATTCCTCAAATCTGTGAACTGGAGGTTTGAACTACATGGTTTGCTTAACATGTAACTCCATACCATTCCTGGCCTTCCTGTGCAGAGGTTGGAAATCATGGAGACACCTCTAAATCAAGTCTTTAACTATAAGCAGGTGAAAGGCAACTCAACAAGGCTCAATCACCCAGTTTTGCATATCAAAATCAGCTTTCCAAAGCATAGCTCCCCCTATGTCTCACTACTGCCTAAAGCTAATATTGAAATGACCTCTACCAAGTATGGGTGCTTAGCATTTTATACAAATATGATTTCTTTTATTATTTGTACAACCCTCAGAAATAAATAAAACCAGTGTTCTCATCTTACAAATGAGGTGACCATGGCATTGAGAGCTTGCCTGAGAACGAGGACCACACCTCTCAGGATGGAAGGTGGGGATGGAACTAGGTTGTGTGCCTCAAGAATCATCCTGGTGCTGCTCAACCACATTCCAGACCATTTGCTCTGGGGCCAGCACTTTACGGCCTTTTCTCTAGTCTTTCCAACATAAAACCTCTGCTCCAAAAATTAACCAGGCTTTTCACTGTAATCTAAGCCTTTGCTTTCCTATACCCCACTACTTAGGATGCTGTCCCTCCTACCCCTTTTTTACCATCCATTAAGGCCAGTTGCAGTCCTACATCTTCCCAAACTGTTCCTTTGTCCTCTCCACCTCTCAGGAATCTCTATATTCTGAGAACTTACTGGGGACCCATGTACCTGATAGGTTAACTAGCTTTGTGTCAGTATTGAAGTTTGGTGTTTATGGGGATCAGGGCCAGTGGTAAATCACTTGAGAGCAGAGACACATAGGTCTGTAAATCTTGCAGTTGCTCAATAAATGCTGGCTGAATTTACAATAACTTCTACAGCAATACAGTAAGTAAAATTAATACAGTACATTCATGGAGTAACACTCTAAGAAATCATCTCAAGACTTTCCAGGCAAAATTGAAGGTGCCATATGACTTTCTGGAATATTCTTCAACTTACCAACCAATTCCCCTAGTTAATCATATCAACTAGATATTTCTGTGTTTGGATGTACCAAGTCAGGATATGCACATATGTGTGCATAAACAGGAAGGGATTGATACTCCAGCAATGTTCAAATATAGCATATTGAGGAACTGAAGTTTGGAATCAAACTAATAATTGGGAAAGGCTGATGGAATGGGAAGTGAAAATAAAATGTACTCAGTTACCATTCTTTTTTGTTTCGGATCATGAAATTAATTATTAATTATGTGAGCCAAATAATTCCCATTCCCAAAAACACTGTTTTGGGCACTGTGAAGAATGCAGCCATACTCTTCCTGGTTTGTTTTTTAAAAATCATTTTTGAAGCAGCTACTCTAAGAATCTTTCAGTATCAGAAAGAATGAAATATTCTTCTACATTTAAATGAGAGAATAGGTGAAACATGCTCTCCAGTTTACTACTATCCAAAGAATTTATAGACATTTTTCATAGGTTAAAAACATACATAGCGATCTAGGCCGGAATCTGAAAGATTTCTGTTTTTCAGTGATTTTTTTTTTAAAGGATAGCTCATGGGAGAGAGAAGGGGAGACCAAACAGCAGAAAACAGGTGTGCTCTAATTGGTTCCAGGTGTCTAGAACAAGAGGCACTGAGGCAGTCTTTTTGCTCTCCACAGGGACTTGGCACCCAGCCATGAGCAACCCCCAGAATACCATGACAGTGGCCTGCAGACCACAATTTCTGTGACCCCGTGCTTCTATAGCAACCACTGACCCTCTGTTGGACAATGATGCCTCACCTCAGGTGGCATCCTCCAATAAGGAAGACTTAAAGGTACCTGCTTGCTTAAGCAGCTTACTAGATTTCCAGGTTAGCTTTTAGATGTAATGCTTTCCTAGTGTGGCAAAATTAAATCCCCTTCTGTAATACAAACATTATTGAGGAAAGGAGAATAAAATTCTTAGCACCATCTTGTTATTCAATGAGCTTAGTTTATAAGTATGTGTTGTGACCAGGGGACAAATAACCAGAGCTGTTGCACTTTCTGGCACAGATGGGGGCTGTAGTAGTAGGAAGATTCTCTGCAACCAGGGAAAGGGAGTCTAACATCACTCAGCAGATCCAGCCCTCTGCAAAGAAGGGGACTAAGAGGGCAATGGGACACATGATATTACAAATCGTTTACTTCAGAAATTGATCAAGCTTTACAGAAGTCTAATCTATCTATCTAAATGCCAGAATCAGCAACGTTCACAAATGATGGAGATGAAAAGAAACAAACAGCCAGGTGCTGGTGGCTCACTACTGTAATCCTAGGTACACAGGAGGCAGACATCAGGAGGATCATGGTTTGAAGCCAGCCTGG